AGTTGCTTGCTTCAGTGTGAATTGAGAACGTTTACTTGGAGGGTTTCGAGATGTGAATGGGGTTGTGGGCATTTGGTTTCATACTTTAAAATTGCACATCATCAAATTAAATCGTGAATTGAATTTAAGATTTCAGTGTACATAAAGCGTGAATTGAGTTAGGGTTAAAATTTATATAAAATATGAATTAGGTTAAATGTGAATTGTCTTTTATAAAAAATAAAATAAATTGAAAAAAAATAATTAAATTAAGCGGGCTGTCCACGGGTATACGTATTAAACTCACCGGTTTAATGATATTGGCTAATAAATCTGCAATTTAAACGAGCTTTATTTTTTAAGGCCCGAAGTCTGCACATACCGAAGATTATACGGGTAGCCTGCGGGCTTTAACTTATATATTCGGCTCTACTAATAACTCTATAACTTGTGTTCATATAAATACGTATTAAAAATATATGTTATTTTATTTTAATTCTATATAATAACAATATAAGAAAAATTATCCGAAAAATCTATCACGTGTAATACCTTTAAAAAAAATAATGTTTTTCTGTAAACAAATGAAAAATAAATATTATTCTCATCACTTGAAATGATCGGCTAACATATATATATATATATATATATATATATATATATTAGAGGAACGTGGAATGCTGAGAGTGGAGTTTCTCCGCCGCCCTGCCGAATCTTTCTGCTGCATTTCCCACCTTTTTTTAATTAAAGTAAAAGTCCACCATCACTTGTTATATCGTTAACTGGAAAGTAAATGAAGTATTTTAAACCAATTACTTTTGATTACCATACACGAATGATATGAGAAAGACAGCTAAGATGCAACTTTGCTACAAATAGAACGAAAATATTGAAGAAAGGGGAGAATGTGAAACTTCCAATATACATGCACGAAAATTTGGGAATGAGAAATGACCCTCGTTTCATTGTATCTCTGTCGACTATCTGCCTTCATTTGTCATCAATTGAGAAAATTTGGCCTGTTGTCATGTCTGAACTACCATAGGATCATCTTTCTCTGTCCAGCGTTGTCAGATGGCCCGGATGTGGTAACACAAGGTGTCGGATAATCCATTCCGTTCATGTTTCCGTCTTCGTATGGTTCTTCCAGCCCTGATTCTTGTAGCCGAAGTGCATGCTCCAAATTCCACAAGACATCGCCCATAGTCGGTCTATCGACACCGTAGTCGGCCAAGCATTTCTCGGCTGTTTCTCCGTATTTCTTCAAACAGCTAGGCTTTATTTGTCCCACGAGGTTGGGATCAATGATTTTTCCTAGCATACCTTTTTTTGCCACTGCATTGCCCATTCTGCTAAGTTCACCTGCTCCCTAGTGACATGGATCAACGGCAGGCCTAGCACAAAGTACCTCGAAAAGCACGACCCCGAATGAATAAACATCTGATTTATCAGTCAGCTGCTGTCTCCGGAAATACTCAGGATCGAGATACCCGAAGCTACCTTTTACCCCAGTGCTTACATGAGTTTCATTAAGACATGGTCCGGATCGTGAGAGACCAAAGTCAGCAACCTTGGCAATGAAATTTTCATCGAGCAGTATGTTGGTAGATTTGATGTCACGATGAATGATACCTTGTGCTGAACCAGTATGAAGGTAGTGAAGACCTCTAGCTGAGCCAATGCATACTTCGAGCCTTTACTTCCAGGACAAAGGAAGATGTTTTAAACCGTATAAATGGTTCTTCAATGGTCCATTTTCCATGTACTCATAGACCAGTATCATTTCCGACTGTTCTTCACAATACCCGACTAGTGAAGCAAGATGCCGGTGACGAATCTTTGAGAAAACAGTTATCTCGGTCTGGAACTCAGGGAGACCCTGCCTTGATCCCGGAACACCTCGCTTCACGGCAACCTTGGTATTGTCCTTAAGTACCCCTTTGTAGACCATACCAAATCCCCATTCCGATAATCAACTCTTGTCAAACTTGTTAGTTGCGGCCTGTATGTCGACAAACGGGATTTTCAAGCTACGTTAGGACCTGGAGACGTAGTAGCAGTCCCTTCAGACATTCTACTATACGAACTGCCCCCATAAACACGTAGCGGTGTCCAACCAGCACTTTCTACACGTCTCGGCAGTTTCGATTTCTTCTTGCACTTAAACATTAGCAGAACTGCAGCCATAGCCAAACAACAGATAACAAAGCCACCAACATAAAACCCACCAAAATCCAAATGTTTTTCTTAGACTTGGCTTGCAAACCTATAGGATTCACCAACCTCATGATCTCAGCCCCATTTAGAATCGCATTAATTTTCGAAGGAGTGCTCAAATCTGAAGGTCCAACACTCACACGAATAACCCCCGAATCATCCGAATCCACAACAAAATCTAAGTAGACAGGAGATGAAAGCACATGAACCGTAAGCATCGACAATCCAGATCCCTAAGCAGTAATCATTGATATACACATTGAAGTAGAGTTGATTAAGGGCAGGGCTAACAATATCACAAAAATGCAACCTAACCAAGTGTGGAGCAGCAACTGAACCTACAGAAAGTCCCAAGTGATATTGAAAATACCGTTCAATGTCGAATTATCTCGGTTCATGTCGGCAGTCATATAAACATTGTCCGGGGCAATTTCACGGGTTAGCGCCCCCATTCTGGTAATTCGGCACATGAGTGGTGACCGCTTTTTTCGCAGCGGATTCGAACACGAGGAAGCCATCGTCAGGGATCCAAGTTCTCCAAAAACTATCATTAAAAGGAGTCAATTTCAATCCACCAACATTAACCCTATGAACAGTCTCTAAAACCTGAGATGTTAAGTTCTTGTAACTCTCAATTCCATTACCGTAACTAACTTAGCTCCATCATCGATTATAAAGCCTTTAGGAGATGAACACCTCAATTGCACTTACAAATGCAAACCAGAATCACCCAGAGGACTAACATGATTTCAAGAACTTCACCATCAATTCTCAGCAAAAACTCTTTTAGCACAGTCTTGTAAGCACTAAAACCCACGCAGTAACAAGAAGCCATTAGCCAAAACATCGAATTTCGCAGAAGCCAAGTTGAAATTTTGAGCTATAAACGAGAGAAATGGAGGCGTACCAAGTGAGTCCATTCCGTTCTGCTTGACGTCGAACTCGTAGCTCGACTCGGAGGTGAAAACTCGGCCGTGCGGTATAAAATGGGTGAACTCGGAGATGGGTTTCTGTCAGTAAGTGAAACGGATCGCTCAGCCGAGAGGGAAACCGAACTGGGTTTCACTGAATCAGATATGAAGACACGATTATAAGGGAAGCGTTGGCATTTGATCCACAGTTGAGGAGGAAGTTATTTTAGGGACGAAAGATTTAGCTAAGTAAAGAGAGAAAGGAAAGTTAGAGCTAAAAGGTGAAGCCTTGAGTATCCATGGAAGGTCACAGAAGAAGGGGAGAATGCTTTTGAAGAAACTGGGTCACTTGGAGACTAGGAGAGAGTGGATTTGGCCATGGAAGTTGATGGTTTTTCTGGTAATATCTGAAAGTATTTCTTTAGAACCGTTCACATTCGTAAGTGCTCTCTTTTTGGCTATTATTTATGATCCAGTTAACCATGGACAAATCACCATTAAAATCATTTTCAGTTGATGCCAGCACGGTAGCAGAAAAAATGAAATTGACCTTTTTTATTTCTCCCCCTTCCCACTGTTCGCTTGTTGAAGAGCACTGACACGACAACAAAGCTACATAGAGTTGCTTTTACATGTACAACTCCTCAAAATTTAAAGGGTAAATTACGGTTTTAACATCACTTAACTTCAACCGTATTCCATTTTGGTTACTAACTTTTAAAATTTTAATTCAATCGTTTAATTTTTTAATTTTTTATTATTGTCACTCAAATGTTAAATTTAAAAACAGGATGATGTTATATATTTTTATTGAGTGGGACTTTTTTATGATATGGAAGTCACCTTATTTTTTCTTATCTTTATTTTATACCTGTTTTTTTATTTTAAAAGTTTTAGAGTGTGATATCATCTTAATTTGAACTCAAAATCCGTTGAAAAATAACTTCGATCTACAATCTTCTTGTTAAATTATCTTAAAATAAGAATATATTGCTCTTCTCCATCTCTATCATTAAGATTTGAAATAAAATACGCTCAAAAGTCAAAAATTTAAAAAAATTCTGAAAGTTTAATTAAAATTTGAGAAGAAAAAATTAAAAATATTTTCATAAACTTAAAATAAAGCTTTGGGAGCTTTTCATAATTTTTAGAAGATATATTTTATGTCATAGAACTAAAAAAAACAGATATATAAATAGATACATGTGGGGACAATGAGATAAGAAATGGCATTTGCAAATATAAATTAGAACAGTGGCGATCAACACAAGGAGGCTGGTGCTCATGGCGGCTATAATAGCATGAGATGAATACGTAATTGAAGCGCGCTCGTGCTTGCCACTCAACGCCGGCTAAAACTACAAATGATGGCTTCTACCGCTATTTTCTCACCGCCTACCGCACCCTTTAAGATGGCCACGGTCGATGCACCTACAAAAAATACCTATCCATGTGATTAATACGAATTATAATTTTCACATTAACTCTTCATCACTGTTGGTATTAGGAATTAGTATTTACTTGTTTTCTATGGCCTTCCAATGCTACAATCCACATGTCCTAATGACTGCTTGTCGCCACTCCTTATACAAGAGGGTGTGGTGTGAGGGGAGTGGCCCTAATTTGTTGAAATTTTTATGTTTGAGTTGGTTGGTGGATAGTTCTCAGTTCCCCTCCTTATTAATCATTTTTTCAATCCAAATACATCATGATTGTTTGCCCTTATTTTATGCACAGGGCATGGCATTGGTATGTGAAGATCATATCGGAAGGATTCTTGCGACAAACTTGTGGTTGGAATGGTTCTCCAGCCAGAGAGCCATGAGGGTTGTCTTCATCCAGTACAACACAAAAGAAGTAGCATAAATCAATCGATTTATGTCAATATCGACCTTTCATGAAGAACCTCCATTATACAAAGGAAGATCATGGGTTACAGAATGCAATCAATCGATGTCGCCTTTATACATAAATATCGCTATATCAGCCCGGAATATAGACCATAGTCCTAGATCCCCTGAAAGTGAGGCAGGATATGACCAAATGAAAAAAGCTTTAAAACCACACAACGGTTACGTTCGTTGTTTCGGTGAATGTAACCAGAGCTACGTGTTTAATAGGTGAAGAAGAGGGCATAAAAACCTGGACAAAATTCAAGATATAACTGCAAAACTAGATAGGTCTATGAGCTCAAAGATCAACTTTACCAAAAATGGCAACTTCCTCTGCTGGGTTGCCTGTCATCAAGCATGTTTTGGTGACCCGAAACTGCTCAAAGGGGAAACATCGAATCGTCACCCCCGTTTCTTCTTTAACTCTTACCTCGTCTGCATCACTTCAGAAACAAAAGGAAGATATTGTTAGACTCACAAATGCACATGTTTTGGTAAAAATATTGTGAAATTAAAAATAGTAAAATAATTCGGTTATGGCCATTGTCTAAGAAAGGGTAGTCTACCTAGCAGACCAAGGTCCCCTCGCCCATTTGCCGAAAGATATCGCTTCCTTGAGTTCATCACAAGAGCTCACATCCACTATGTTACTGCAGAAAGAGTCCAGGAGAGCATTAGAAAGAAAGAACAATAAACTCCAGAGAATGCAGGGAAATAGATGCATTCTGTTCAACTCAAAAAACTCCATTTAGCTCTCTGGAAAATTGAAGCTTACAAGAAAGACATATACCACTATCCATCCATTTAGAGACTGTGAAACCTAATCAATCAAACGGACACCTAATAAGACAAAATGAATTCAAATAGTACTTGGAGACATTGTCAACAATTGAATATCTCCAGACTGATCTTATTATATTACAACTTCAAGAAGGGACGAAATAGGAATCTGGAGTGGGAACACTTCAAAGAAATTTTGCTGGTTTAACAAGAGGCTAGTTGTACAGTTTAAGATCTGTGGTTACAAATGAAAGAGCATGTTTGCCAATTCAATGGTGTAGCCTGAATACTTTAGCTTCACAAACTCATCATATACGCCTACATAGTACATTATTAATCTTGATCCGAAACGAACAGCTATAGGGTTGCCATAATGAGTATCAAAGCTAAAAAAACGTTATCAATCAAACTCTCCTTATGCTGAAACTCCTAATAATTGCTTGAGAAGGAAAACACACCTGTCCCAGAAAGATATTGCCCTCTGAAGAAGAGATGATTGGATCTCGTCCAACCTGTCTTTGACATAAGCTTCTAATATTGAAGGTTCCATAGATATTCCAAAAACTTTCCCTTGCTTCGCAGGAATATCTCTTCTAGATATGACCACACTCCCACTTGAAACATCACGTGGCCCAATTTCAATCCTCAGAGACACTCCTACAAAATTATTGTCTAAAGCTGAGGAATGAGGCAGATGAAAGTTAAAAGATATATCACAAAAGGAAATGGTATAGCCCAAAACTTACAGTTCAACAAATGGAAGGATTGCACCCGTACACATTTTTATGGGATGTGGACAAGTTTCATGAACTTCCTAGGGGATTCCCAAATCAAGCTTGAGGCAGATGAAAGTTAAAGATATGACGCATAATGAACTGATACAAGGACCCAAAACAGTTCAAAAGACAGATCAGGATCGCATCCATGCACATTTTGTGGATTGTGAACAGGTTTATGAACTTTCTAGGGGATTCTCGATCCCTATTTTTCTGGTTGAGGAAGAACACAGACTTGTGTATAACCGATAATGGCTACCACATTTAGATGTAAAGATACCTTCATCTCCAGAAATTGAACTTCCATCCTGTCGTCCTTTGATCTGTCATCAAGTTTAGTTTCAAGTTTTATATTAACAGCATATTTACCATTGCGTTCAGTCAGGAAAAGACCAATCAACAAATGCCACCAAAGTTCAGGCCATCTATTACAGTTCATCATAAAAAACATTCTTACAGACCTGTATTGGTGCAATTCTCGGACGAAGCATCAAGCCATATCATCTCCATGGATCATGATAATACCACCAGTAAACCTTGTACTGTAGCCCAAGATGTTCGCCACACATGTTGCCTTTGTCCATTTTCATCAGTGAACTGTGCAAGCAAAGTCTCGGTAAAAAGCCTTTATAATTTATGGAGTTAAATACAAAGGTCAGATAATTTTCTTTGTACTTATCCAATTTCATTTATGTGACAGTAAATAGAAGTGCAAGGGAGAAGTAAATAATAGAAGTGCACTATTTTCCAGCAATTCCTTAACATTAACTTCATTAGGTAATACCTTATTGCTCCCTGGATGCATATCCATCTCAGGAATGGTAAAGAGAAAAAAGGTGCTCTGGTGTATCAATCACCTGTGTCCCTGAAAATTGTCAAACTCTAGAATCTAGTCTACCTTACACTTTGAAAGAATAGTTTGGGACCCACTAATTCCTTCCTCTTTTTCATCGATAGGTAAAATCAAAGTGCTTTCATTTAAAGCACTGAAAAACGACAGCAATGGTGAAATTGGTAGAGTAGAAGGCTACAATAAAGAAGTCTTGCTTTTTTATTTACAAAAATGTTAATGAATAAATTTGTGTTGCTAGATTATAACTAATTAGGTTTACATTATTTAAGTGGATTGTGTATATATATAATAATTAAATATAAAATATATAAAGAATAGGGACTGAAAACATAATTAGACGTTTGTTTAACTGAGTTGGAAGACAAATTTGCAAGAATAATTCTGAAGTCATTTAACCAAAATTTAGAAGCCCCTTCGCTCTGAGATGGGATTAGATTTAACCAATGTATACATGGCTCAGTTATCATGGCTGGGCCGAGTTAAGACTGAGTCTGGGCTTGATTCAGGCCGCGACAGACATAATAAGTCAATCAGGAGAAAATACGTTATTGTAAAATTTTAAAATAATTCATTTTATAATATAATTCATAATTATATAAAATTAATGTATTACATATTATTTAAATTAAAAAAAAATTTATTCAAACTGAATTTTTTATACTTTTATTATTAAACTATTAATTGATTTGATGAGATAATATTAATATGTTCAAATTTAAAAAGTAATTATCAAAATTTACAGAGATTGGTTATAAGGCTATTCAAGTTATGTCAATGATTTGAATTAATAATAAATAATAGTATTAAAATCATCAATAAAAGAAAAGATTATTTTCTCTAAAAGTTCTTGCTGTCTCTACTAAATGTGTATATTAATAGATTAAAAAAATTAAACAAATATTATCTTATAATTATTATAAATATAAATATTAATAATTATAGAAAAAAGATAATGCCGGTAGAAATTTTTGTGAGACGTGATTGGAATGGGATTTAATTAATTTAAATTAAATTTTAAAAAAATGGGATGAAAGTCTTTCACCTACCTTTATGGCTTCTACATGTGGTATGCCGGTTTAGCTTTAGGCTTGTAGGTCCATAACACACGCATCCACCCAATTTGTGGGCGGTTTCTAAAATATCCATTGCTTGCGCTCTCCTACTTGGATCCACCTTTATAATGAAGAAAACTTCATTATTTATTCCAATTTGTGGGGCGGTCTATGTTATATATATAAATACGCAAAAATGATATAAATATTTTATTAATTTTTAAAATTTTAATTAAAACAATTTATTAAGTGGATTCAACGATTAAAAAGAGTATTGTCTTCGTTTATTAGAAGGAGTGTTATTTCCTTTGTTTAAAGTCTTAAGTTCAAATAGCTTACAGGGTATGTGTGTATTGTTGTTAATAACTAAAAATTTTAAATACATATATTTTATAATTAAATATAGAAATTTAATGTAATTTAATTGTATTATAATTTATAATTTTTTTTAATAATGTATCGAATAATGTTTATTTTGTAGACTACTTTTGAGTACACCTTTTTTTTTCATTGGGGTAGTAACAAATCTTTTGTTACTTTTGATTGAAACAAAATAGCTTTTTACCTTTTTCATATCCTTCACGAGTGGGGAACTAGGAAAGTGAATCATAATTGGAACTTTATAGCCCATTATGAAAATAATTAATAAAAAATACACGAGAAGAAAAATATTTATATATTATAGGATTAGAAGTTGATTATTATTATTGGTAAAAGTGTTTGAATAATGTAATGAAAAAAAAATCTTCACATAGTACAGTTGAATAATTATTTGCTTAAGTATGGTGATTTTTATAGTAACTACTTAGTCTCTAGGAGCACACGACAACTATGGAAATTTGGTGATCTATAGAGCTGCAACAGCGAGAGAAGAGTTGCTGCAACAGAGAAGGTTTTGTCGCAATGAGCATTTGACGACCAATAAGATTACTGTAACGAACACCCTAATTCAAATAATAATTTAAATAGAGCCTTATAAGAATTTTTTTTTCAACGCATGGACGAGGAAGCCATGAATCATTGCCTTAGGCAGTCCACCTCGTTCCCCATCACTGTCGTCATCTAGTACCGGGTAAAAAGCTAAAAATGATCAATTAAAAGGTTTGGTAAAAAGCTAAATAGGATCGATGTAAAAAGTTAGACTGGAACAAACGAACCTAGTAAAAAAAAAGTAATAATCAAACAATTCTTTTTTAAACCGTTTAATGAAACGGTTAGTTTATCTACTCCTTACCAAAATCCGATGATTGAAGGGAAAAAATCACATTTAAATTTTAAATATTGTTATGCGTGATACTTAAAAATCATATTTTTTAACTATTAAATATTATAGTCTTAATTTTTTAAAAAAAAATTATAAATCTTAAAATTTAAAACGTAAAAAGAACAAATGATATCGAAAAAGGTTTCATTTGATAATGAATAAAGGAGGAAAAAAAGGCATGAAGGGGAAAGGTGGGTGAAAACGAGGGAGAAAGAGCCAAAAGAGGATGGGAGTTGAGATATCATAATCAAAGAGATAACGGGGTAACCGAAGTAACCCTGCAAAAGCATTGTATGGAGCTGCATAAAAAATATTAATATCCGATTTTACGTAAAAAAATATCTGAAATCGATTTTAAGAAAAATTGATTTTTTTAAAAATTGGATTGGATATTTTAAAACCGTATAGTATAATCGGTTTGGAAAAAAAATTAGACGACCGGATTTTTTATTAGATTAAAAACCGGTTTGAAAAAAACCGGATAAAAAATCAGTTTTTTATCCGGAAAAAAATCCGGTCTGGGGTTTAAAAAATTGGATGACTGAATTTTTTACCGGATGAAAAAACGGTTTTTTTTATAAAAAAACAGATTTTTTCAAACCAAAACCGATTACACCAGTTACATCATCCGGCCCTCCAAACCGGTTATGATCCGAACCGGGTTTTTTATAAATCAATTTTTTGGCTTGATGAAAAAACCGAATCGATTTTTATTCGATCCAAATCTAATTTAAATCCAACTATGTGCCTCTATAATTGTGTATAAAAACGGGAGGAATTTGTCACGAAAACACACGTAATCCCAACAAGTGGATCAGCACACGTGCGCGCCTTTGACAATAGAGTTTCATTTGTTCCAACCTGAACATCAAATAAAAGAGTAGTGATAATAATAATAATTTAATCAAGTAGGTTAAGTGATAAAAAATATATTATTTTTAAAATAAAATTTAAATTTAAATAATTATATTTGTAAGATATATGTTTAAAAATTAAACATATATTATTTTATAATCAATTTTTATTATTAAAAAACAGTAATAATAAATTGTTACTGCATTAAAATGTAACATAAATCGTTTGCTTTTTTGTTGGGGTTTGTTAATAAAAACACCCCTATTCCAACATCGCAAATTTAGCCGACTATTGCTCGTCCTTGTACCCGTTGGACGTTTGTAAGACCGGGTCATTTTAGTCATGTACACTCGGTTTTGGTTCGGTGATTTGATTGGTTTGAGCGGTTGATTTTTGTCGTCTACCATCTTCCATACTTTACCCTACATTTATTTTTAATATTTTTTAAACACTTAAACTTTTTTAATATTTTAAATTAATTGAAAATTAATATTTATTCATTAAATTATTTTCATAATTGATAATGTATATATATTCTGTAAACATAATTATTTAAATTTATGACTTCTAAAAAATATCACATCCTTTAATTATTAAAGTTGTTTGATGAATTTTAAAATATATTTAATTTAAATATTAAAGAGTATATTTAAACATATAAAAAAAATATAATAAAACTATTTGTTTTCTCCCTTACAAATAAGGTTAAGAATATCGGCATTAGCGACAAATGGCAAATGCAACACAGCAACAGTACATTGCATTACAAAAAGTCACGAGTTTCTCACACCTTTCTGGCCTTTTAGCCATAACTGCGTGGCATCATCAGAAATTTGAAATAAAAGCCAAGGGCAGTCCCGTCAAGCTGTTAGCTACGAAATAAAATATTCTAACCGTTATCTTGCTCGGTGCCTTTTGTAGACCTCCTTGTGGGACCATTCACCTATTAAAAGGAAAACAAATAATTACGAATCGAAGCAATAAGACGAGGAATTATTCTTTTCTAAAATACGTGGAAAATAAAAAAATAGTAGAAAATAAAATAAACAAATGTTAAACGTAGGAGAGTATATTTCATCTTAATATAATAGGTTTTGATTCAACCTAATTTTATATGATTATTTTTTAATTTAAGTTTAAATAAGGTTCAATCTAAATTTTTAAGAATAAAAACAAGTCAAATTAAGTCATAATAAAGGTATAAGTATCCGTCCGAAGAATAATATTTTTAATATTATTTATTAAAAACTAATTAATATAATATCTATATTTATATTTTTAATTAAAATCTTATTATATTATTTCATGTCAAGTTAGATAAATTTGTATCTAAAAAACGAATAAGTTTCTGATTCATTAGTAGTTTACTAAACTCATATCAAATCGGATAACAGAAATGGAAATAAATTATACTTAAGTGAAATTTAAGTGAATTAAAATTTGGGTAAAGTATATAAATAGTCCTTGAACTTTTAAAATACTTGTATTTTTGTCACCCAACTTTTGAAACTTACAATACATACATCAAATTTTCAGTTCATTTTCATTTATATCCCTGCCGTTACCGTTAATTTTTTGCTGATGTGGCAATTAAACTCCCGCCAACTATCTTCTTCTCATTCTTCTTCTTATTTGAAAACCCTAACTTCAAAAAAATCAAAATCCCGAAAATCATAACCCCATTGAAAATCATAAGCTCCACGAAATCAGAAACCCAAAAATCATAACCTCGAAAAAAATGAAAATCCAAAAATCATAACCCCACAAAATGATTCTCCTATTTTTGA